TTTTTTTTTTTTTTTTGTGGAATACGAAAAGCAGAACATTCTCACTTTTACATAAAATTAAAGCATATCAACCAGAGGTTGCAAGTCTCCAAAAAAGTATGATAAAAGTAGTTCATACTTGCCAATGTCCTATACTTGAACATCATACTAAAGTTATTTGTGTGAGGAACAGATTGAAATGTATTCACTTGGCTACAGTGAAGATTTTGCAAGATTTTCAATAAATATTGACTGTTCCTCATACAGAGACATGGACGTCAGCACGCACGTCTACTTATAACTACTTTTATGGTACTTTTTGTGCTAAATTTCTCCTTCTGTGTTCAACAGAAGAAAGAAACGTCAAGTCAGATATTGAGTAAGTTATTAATTCTGATGCAAAATTAACAAGACAATATTTTATTTTTCTGTAGTATAATGTGCACTGATGAATCGATCACAAAACCAGGAGTATTTGCATTGATTTTCATTTTTGGTGGCTGTTAATTAAAGTTGTGCATAGCCTTTAATGAGAAACCTCATACATTTCTACAACATTTACCCACTGTTCCTTACTCTCTCTCATTCTCTCTCCCAGCATGACCTTTCATTCACCACACTGAAAAGACTGATTTGGGAATGGATGATTTTGCTTGTTTGTATGCAGCTCAAGCCCATGAGAGAATGATGAGCCCTACTGGGCCCAGTCCCAATCCCAACATCCCATCAGAGTACTGCTCCACCATACCGCCCATGCAGCAGGCCCGCGCCGCCGGCACCCTCAACTCTCCCCCACCCACCGTCATGGTCCCCGTGTCTGTCCTCAAACACCCCGGTAATGACGGTACGCACTGCACTCTGAGCCGGCGTTATAGCTCTTATGGCTATAAAACACTGTGACCTCCATTTAATAGAGTTAGTTCATGAAAGAAAGAGTGACTGCATCCCAAAATGCATGCACTCCATATCATATAGTGTGCTAGACTAGGTTAGCTTCACTATACACTGTTATGTAAAGGTTTGGGGTCTGTATGATTTTTAATTAATATTTTTATCCAGCAAATGAACAAGATTTTTATCAGATTTTTATTAATATTTTTATGCAAGGATGCATTAAATTGTTTAAAAGTGACAGTAAAGACACTTACAACTTTACAAAATATTTACATTTCAAATAAATGCTGTTCTTTTGAACTTTCTATTCATCAAAGAATCCTGAAAATATAACATGTATCATGGTTTCCACAAAAATATTGGGCAGCACAACTGTTTTCAACATTGCTAATAATCAGAAATGTTTTTTGAGCTGCAAATCAGCATATTAGAATGATTTCTGAAGGATCATGTGACACTGAAGACTGGAGTAATGATTTGTTCACAAGAATAAATACATTTTAAAATAGAATTAAATAGAAAATAGCTATTTTAAATTGTAGTAATATTTTCACGATTTCTACTGTAATAATATAAATAAATAAATGCAGCCTTGGTGAGCAGAAGAGACTTTCAAAAACATTATAAAACCCAAACGGTAGTGTATTTTTAGTCTAGTAATAGAAAAAATGTTTTCCTCTTCATCACACCAAACTTTAAGCAAACTTTATTTGGTACATCGCTTCAAGTCTGTTATTTTAGTAGAATTTATATGCTATAGTAGTTTTTAGTTAATATTTTTGAATTACTTTTGTTTTTTTGTATTTTCTGTTTTCATTTAAATTTTAGCTTCATTTTTTGTAATTTTGTTTTGTTTTTGTCATTTTTTAAATATATATATATTTTTTTAATAATATGTAGAGATGCACCAATATCGGTATCGGGCCTGATACTGCTCTCCTGTACTCGTACTCATTAAAATGCTCCGATACCACACAGCATGTGAACAGTGCTGTGTCCAGACAAAGAAACTCTGACAACAGAACAACAGAGAGCAGAATGGAGTTATTAGAGATTAAGGATGTCTATGAAGTTCATGTATGTAATTAATATAATGTTAATTATATATATACATTCAATATTCACGCCTGTATAGCGGATGTGCGCGAGCTGATAAGCAAAGCACGCTGAGTGTAATGAGCCTGCGGCGGCACAGATGTGCGAGCTTGTCGATCAAATATCTCTTTCTCACAGACATCACTGGAAAGTTTGTAGTTCAGTCGGATATGTCAAAAGCAAGTAAGTAAAACAATGCACAAATTCCTAAACTTACTTGACGGTAAGGAGAGAGTGAGAGAAAGAGACACTTCTGTTGCATGATCTTCATTGCTGTTCGCTCCGTTAGCACATGCATCTTTTGGATTAAAACTAAATCGTAAATATAAAACAAACAAAAATTATTGGTGCATTCACTATAATCAATATTTGAACATCAAGCATAATTTAGTGTTGGGCTGCCCCCCAATAGTCGACAAGAAGAGGCTTAGTCGATCAAAATTTTATTAGTCGCAGAAAAAAAGTTCCACAACAAGTGACGAAGTCATTGACAGATCATTAACAGCTGGTCTATGTGGTAATTACAGTACATCGAACATCCAAATGTTCGTTTCGTTCACCGATCTCAAATGTGGCTACTGAAACATGTAAGTAGTAGCATCATTACATGGCCGCTCGCTCTAACGTTAACCTAGAAACGTGTGTGCTATTGAAGTGTTTGTGCGGAATGTGGAAGCTGAATAGTAGCACGCTCACTGCATGACAGTTCACTTGGAGGCACCGGTGCGATCATTTGCATTTAACTTAAAATACTCTGTCATTTTTTGCTCATATAGAGTAATACATCTATCGAATTTGTAAAAGTTTTACTTTTATTTGTGTGCACTCACAATAACAACAAAACGTTGTGCTTTTGTAAAATAATGAAAGCAAACAGGGTGCGCTTTCTGCCGTCTAGGTCTCTGTGAACTTGACCATGTCAAAAAAATAATAATTAACCGAAACTCTGTGCTTGCCTCACAGACATGAAAAATATATCTATAGAAAGTGAAATGTTTACTTTTAAATGAACTGATTCAAATGGAAAACAAATATTTTCATATAATGTAAGCCATATGAAACATGCACGTCTACTGTGGAGATGATGAGTCAGTGTCGTCGACTTCATCACTGCAGCCAAAAATACAGAAAACACTAGTTTATCAATGAATTATTATAATTGTTAAGGCAGTCTTCTTGCTGTTTTTTCCCTGACGCATTCATAATCATTACTTCTGCGGTGTGCTGTGGCAAGTTTTATGCATGTGCTTGAGTGCTAATAGGCTATTGACTTGTTCGGTGTCGCGTCATAGCTGTGTGGGCGGAGTCGGCATGGGGGAAAACAGTCCTTTCCCCCTCATTGGAAAAGCATGGTATTGACTCAGAATGGCCTACATAAAATTATTTCTGGTCATTCATTGATTCGCTGCCTTTCAGCCTAATTGTAAATTTCCTGGCGAGTGTGATCAGAGCGCCGGAGGAAGTTCTGACAGCGCTGCCGAGGTGAGCCGCCCGCCCATCAGAGGCCCGTGGGACTACGGCCTGCTCTGTGCGGTGGGCAGCTGCGTGCAGGGAGCGGTCAGTCTGGTGCCGGAGGACGACGACGGTCTGCCTCCACTGCTCATTACCACAGGAGAGGAGGAATATGGGGGTGAGGACTTTTAAAGGCTTAAACTAGAGGGTAGCCATCTTTTTGACGGCCTCTTCCTGTCTAAATGGTAGGACTAGGCGATAAATCAACATCGATGTTAATCAAAAAACAAGTAATTTGAGTAATTTACGATATTTAGCCTACATCATTCTAGACAATCAGGTTCTTCTATGCAAAGTTCTTCAAATATTCTTTAAATTCTGCTGTGAAGCAGCTCTAAAAGACAACAGTGTTCTGACTTGAGCTGACTAACAGCACTGTTGTCTTTTAGAGCTGCTTCACAGCAGAATTTAAAGAATATTTGAAGAACTTCTCATAGAAGAACCTGATTGTCTAGAATGATGTAGGCTAAATATCGTAAATTACTCAAAAGTTTACTTTCGATTTTGTGGATTCGTTTTTTGATTATATAGTATTGATTCTATAGTTCAATTCAATAGCTGTGTAAAATTTATCAATTATAAAAGAAATCAGCATATTGTGTGAATGAGTGGTGCAGTTTCGTTTTGTACACATACTGAAGCACGCGTGACGCTTGTGGTGTTTCAGCGTCTGCCGTCTCACTATATGAGGACATGAACACATGAACTTCATCTCCAGAGCTGCTCTGAGAGTCACTTCACCAGCATTTCACCATTTCTTTTGAGAAAACTATTGTCAGTTACACACAGAAACTCAAGTCTTCGCTACAACCTGCCAAAATAAAAGTTTGGTTTAATTTGAAGAAATTATTACAGAAATATATTACTTTTGTATAGTAAAATGTACTTCTCCTCTCAAATAATAATAATGCAACTTTTTAAAGGGGTCATATGATGCGATTTCAAGTTTTCCTTTCTCTTTGGAGTGTTACAAGCTGATTGTGCATAGATAAGATCCCTGAAGTTGCAAAGACTAAAATCTTATTATTTATTATTATTTATTATTAATAATAAATTATTATTGTTAATACTATTGTTATTATTAAAATTAAGGAATATCATGCAACCAAGAATTTTTTTTTTCATCCATATTTTAATTTATACAGTATACAATTTCTGCAGCACTTGTTAAAGTTTTATGAATTCACTTCATTAGACAACTTTTTTGATAATACATTTGTATTAAATCATAAAACACAGAATCCAGAAAAAATGAAACCGAAAACACAAAATTTGGGGGGAAAAAATTAATGAGGCCCTAAATTAAAAGAGAGCTTATTCTGTGGAGTTTACTTGTAAATAAGTTATGTTCAGATTTTGTCTCATGGTCTAGCAAATATGTGGAATGTATTTTCTTGAAATGAAATGAATGTTGTGATAAATCAATATTGAATGAAATGGGCAAAAATATTGTGATAACTTTTTTTTTGGCAATATCTTCCAGCCCCACTAAACAGGTGATTTTTAACCAGAATCATGCTGCTTCAACAGTACGTTGGAGATACTGTAATTACTAGATGAGAACATCTGAGAAATTCATGCCCTCTGTTGCAACACTTATGGCAAAATAGGTCCATGTGCTGTTTTGTTGATGACAGCAAAATACTATTTACGTTTAGAAGTCAGGTGATATCCTGATTGCTGCTGCCAATTTGGTAGTTATTTTGTGACTGATTCTTTATGGTGTGTTTTTCTGTAATGTGTAATTTTCTTTTCATTACGTTACAGATTTATTAGTTGAGGAACGTCCTGCTGCTTGCCAAATATTGCTGCTGTTGGAAGAGGGAGGCCCACAACCACTGACCTTCGTGCTCAACGCCAATTTACTGGTGAACGTCAAGATTGTCACATGTATGTTACGTTATCTCAATCTGATTGAAATATCTGATCATGTCCAGCTTGTTCATATGCTAAACATCATTACTCTCTCTCTCTGTTTGTGTTGTAGATGGTGGGAAGAGGTGCTGGTGTCTGAGCTCTAATGGTCTTCAGGGAGTGGGCCAGAAGGAGCTGGTGTTTATAATTGAGTGTCTCGCAGAGGAGAACAACCTGCCTAGAGACCTATTCAACCTGTATGTTAGTATCTACGAGGATGCACAGAAAGGTACGTCACACAAAACACTTCACAGTACAGGCAAAAACATTGTGTTTTTATGCGCTGGTCAGTTTTGAGATTTCAGGCTTTTCATAATGTGTTGTTTAAGTCTAGTGGAAAGAAAACATCCAAAATAACTTCTAAGTGTTTATTTGATCTTTTTGTGTCTGTACATTTTAATTATAATACATACCTTTAAAGGCCGTTTTCTCAAAATAGCTATTTGCTCCACTTCAGCAGCACTTGCATACACCAAACTTTACAGTTTTTATATAACATTTTATTGCTAAATCCATGGTGATTTTTTAATTTATTTTTTTCTAGAATAATAGTAAATGTACTTCTCAAAGTAAAAATAATATTAATAATAACAATAATACAACTTATTAGATTATTACTTTTAATTATTATTATTATAAGTAGTAGTAGTAGTATCAATATTATTATTATTAAGGAATATCTTACAACCCAGATATATTTCATCCACGTTTTAATTAATACAGTATACAATTTCTGTACTGCAGCACTTTTTGACAAAAAATTAAAATAAAAGTGTGGTTTTGTTGGAAATTATATTGTTATATTTATTGTATACATTGTATATTTATATATATATATTGTGTGTGTGTGTGTGTGTGTGTGTGTATATATATATATATATATATATATATAGACATATTTTTGTATTGACTAAATTGTTAAAGATTCGTGAATTGGCTTAAACAACATTTTTGATAATAAAAATCTAAAATTCCCTCGGAAACAACCTGTTCTGAAATTTCAGTTTCTAGAAATGTATGCAAATTAGTGTCTATTTCATTAGTTAATGCATCATTTGCATATTTAAACATACCATACCAAAACACATTTGCAATTCCTAATGTACTGTAATCAGTCAACTGGAGATGTATGGTGATATCTGTTAGTTAAATTTTTACTCTATTCCCCTGTAGTGTCTTACCTTAAAGGGGAGATAAAAACAGTCGTAATTTACTTTTTCATGACTACATTCCACCCCCTTAGAAGTAAACAGTTTTTTTTTTTTACTGCTGCACTGATAAATTAGTAACAAAATAGATTTATACCAGCAAAAACATTTCGTTTTGATGTTTTTTTTTGCTGCATGATATTTGATCTGTTTTACAAAAACCCAAACTATTCATGATGTAAATGAGTGATTTTTATGTGGCTCATATGGTATTTTTCTTATTTTTCCCCACCAAAGGGAAGTTCATCGAGCACCTTGGCAACGTGACGTTCACTGACAGTTTCCTGGGCAGTAAAGATCACGGTGGCATCCTGTTCTTCACTCCAACGTTTCAGCCACTGGATGGTCTTGCTCTGCCGCAGGTCTCGTTCCTCTGTGGTGTTTTGATTCAGAAACTAGAGGTTCCCTGGGCTAAAGTGTTTCCCCTCCGACTGCTGCTCGCTCTGGGGGCACAATACAGCGGTGAGCCCTCATTAAAACATCCTTTAGTATAATAGAGAAGAAAATGTTATTATAATATTGCTATTAAAATATATAATGTTATATATTATATACAGTATATATATATAAGTACCACCTCCTTCCATTCATGATATGATGTTTATTTTTACAGTGTATCCCTGGCCTTTGGTGAGCGTGCGTTTCCGTGATTCCGTTTTCAAAGAGGCGGGCCACACCATCATGAATCTGCTCACAGTACGTGTTCACATTTAACCCTAAAATATTTTACTTAATCATATAAATGTGCAATGTATTGTTTAAAGATGTACACTGCTGTTCAAAAGTTTGGGGTCGGTAAGATTTTGTAATATTGAATAATTTTAAAATAATACAATGATGCAAAATGCATCACATTTTGATACAGTGATGTAAATCTAAATTTTCAGCATCATTACTCCAGTCAGAAATCATTCTAATATGCTGATTTGCTGCTCAAGAAACATTTCTGATTATTATCAATGTTGAAAACAGTTGCAGTTGCTGCTTCATATTTTTGCATCCTTGCAAAATAAAAGCATTCATTTTTCTTTAAAAAAAAAAAAAAAAAACCTCAGAACTTTTAAACTTTTGAAAAGATGCTGTTTATTTCTGCTTATGGCTTAATGGTTCTCAAAGATGAAAGATGTGCAACTAAGGTCAAGATCATAATCCAGACTATTTGGTGCTAACCTTATATACAATATCAAAATTGTAGGTTTGTGGTTTCAGATCAATTTTATAATATGTGATTTGCCCTGAAAGATTTTAAATGAATTCCAAAAGCAAGAATCAAAGATGGTAGTTTGGTTAAGCTGTTTTTTCACCTTTCTAACCAGAGTCTCGGGTTCAGCTCAGGACAGATAATGAAGGAGATTAGAGAGCACTCAAGACTAAAACCCAGTGTGTACTTCAGCTCTGAGCCACTCTTGATTTCTGAGAATTAAAGAGCTTCTTTGGTCTCTAACGATTGTGCTTGCAAGTACACTTATGGCCAATTTTCTGGATGCAGGCATGGAAAAATGTGGTACATCTCTGCAAATTAAGTTTATTTTGCATCTAAATTGGCTTATTCTACTTTGCAGATGCATTTTAGTATGAAGGTAAACGTAAACATGTTATCAAGTTTTAACTTTTGGCCTTGTAACCTCAAATCCTTTGTTTATTTATGGCTTAAAATCTTTTTTTTTTTCAAGCCGCGGAACCAACATTCAAAATACATTTAAGTATATTCAGAATACTCAATGCAAAACATTCAATGCACAAACTAATAAAGTGAAAAATAATCAAGGCATGTTTTCCCTCTGATTTGATTGATTTAACAAAAAGGCTTTTAACAATTTTTTATTTGTATGCACCAAAATAACATTACATAATACACATAACACATACATTAAGGGAATAGTTCACCTACAGATGGCAGTTTGCTGAAAATCTGCTCACCCCAAGCCGCGGAACCAACATTCAAAATACATTTAAGTATATTCAGAATACTCAGTGCAAAACATTCAATGCACAAACTAATAAAGTGAAAAATAATCAAGGCATGTTTTCCCTCTGATTTGATTGATTTAACAAAAAGGCTTTTAACAATTTTTTATTTGTATGCACCAAAATAACATTACATAATACACATAACACATACATTAAGGGAATAGTTCACCTACAGATGGCAGTTTGCTGAAAATCTGCTCACCCTCAGCCCATCTAAGATATAGATGCGTTTGTTTCTTCATCAGATTTGGAGAAATGTAGCATTGCATCAGTGTCTCACCAATGGATGCTCTGCAGTGAATGGGTGCCGTCAGAATGAGAGTCCAAACAGCTGATAAAAACATCACAATAATCCACAAGTAACCACTCCAGTCCATCAGTTAACATCTTGTGAAGAGCAAAGCTGCGTGTTTGTAAGAAACAAAAACAAATATCACTGGAGGAAACGTTATTATGGATTATGGTCTAAGATTTTCCGGAAGCGATGGTTTGAAGTTAAAACTGTCTTAATGATGGATTTGTTTCTTACATGCCTCTTTTGGCTTCAGAAGATGCTAAATGATGTACTGGAGTGGTGTGGATTACTTGTGGATTATTATGATGTTTTTATCAGCTGTTTGGACTCTCATTCTGACGGCACCCATTCACTGCAGAGCATCCACTGCTGAGCAAGTAATGTAATGCTGCATTTCTCCATATCTGTTCTCTTAAAGAAACAAAGTCATCTACATCTTGGATGGCCTGTGGGTGAGGACATTTTCAGCAAATTTAGATTTTTGGGTGAACTATCCCTTTAACTTTTGGCCTTGTAACCCCAAATCTTTGGATCCACCTTCATTCTTGTGTTTTGTTGATTCTGACACAGGATCTGAGGAACTACCAGTACAGTTTACCTGTGGTGGAAAGTCTGCGAGTGCACATGGAGATGGGCAACAGCTACATCGACATTCCTAAGTCCAGGTTTAATGAGGTCAGAGTTATATTTGAATTGTGCAGCAGTCAGGCATCATTGTTATTGTGTTGTTGAATGTGTTGTGGTGTTCTGGCTGTTGTAGATGCTGAAGGTGGTGAACTCCTCCAATGAACACGTGATCAGTTTCGGCGCCTGTTTCAGCACTGAGGCCGATTCTCACTTGGTTTGCATGCAGAACGAGGACGGAAGCTACCAGACGCAAGCCAACAGTATACCAGGAAAAACCAGGAGAGGTTTGTTAGTCACTTCTACTAGAGCTGGGCGATATAGCTAAAAATCTTTAATAACTTTGTGTATTCTCTTGAATGTCTTAAGACAGTTTTCTTTTTCAATCAGAGGGACCAACATTTAAATAATTTCAAGCCATTGTAGTCAAGTAGATTCAAAATATTTAATGCAAAATCGAAAAAATAAAGTGAAAAGTAATCAAGCCATTGGTTTTTAATTGAATTTACATAAAGAAAATGTGTTTAATCATTTTTTGCACCAAAATAACATTACATAAAACAGATTATTTCAACTACATATATTTATTTAAAATAATCAAAGCATGTTTTCTTACTGTTTTTGACTGAATTAACACAAAGGAAAAAAATTACATTTAATCGTTTTTATTTATATACACAAAAATAATATTACATAATACACATTATTTTACCTACATATATTTGTGAAAAATAATCAAGGCATGTTTTCTTTCTGTTTTTGACGTAATTAACACACAGAAAAAATTATATTTAATCGTTTTCATTTATATGCATAAAAATATTTCGATGATTATTTAATCTTACCAGTACTAACATTTTATATCTGAGGTGATATTAAAACATCTTTGTATTTATGCTGTTATACTTGCAAGTTGCAAGACAAGGAAGGATTGCAAAACTAGTTTAATTTGATCAAAATCTTTAGGAAAACCAAACTTTCAAATGTACTTTGGTTAGCACCAAAGGTTTTAGTGTGAAATCACTCAAGTTGTTTGTTGTATAATATTTATGTAATATGATAAGTGGATGTCTCACCGGACCCTGTCTTTCTTTTGCAGTGACTGGAGCTAGTTTTGTGGTTTTTAACGGTGCTCTGAAAGCCTCATCAGGATTCATTGCCAAATCCAGCATTGTGGAGGGTAAAGCTGACACACAAATCATTTTCAAACACTTCCTTAGGTCATTATGCTCAAAAAGTTTTATCGTCAAACTGTCCTTCTTCATCTTTAGACGGGTTAATGGTGCAAATCCCTCCGGAGACCATGGAAGGTTTACGACAGGCCCTCAGGGACCAAACCGACTTTCAGATCCCCTGTGGGAAGGCAGATTCGGATGAGACACGGGAAAATGTGAATGTACGCTGGGTCGACTGGACTGCACCCGTCAACTCTGGGTACCAACAATTTATCAGATACATTTACACTATCAAAAGTTTGGAATAATTAAGATTTTCTTATTGTTTTTGAAAGAAAACTCTTCTGCTCACTTAAGGATGCATTTATTTGATCAAAATACAGTATAAACAGTAATATGTTTACAATTTGAAAATAACTGTTTTCTATTTGAATATATTTAAAAATTAATTCCTGTGATGCAATGCTGAATTTTCAGCATCATTACTCCAGTCTTCAGTGCCACATGATCCTTCAGAAATCATTCTAATATGCTGATTTGCTGATTAACGTTATTATCAATGTTGAAAACACGGGAATAAATCACAATTTAAAATACGCAATTAGAAAACTGTTCTTTTAAATTGTAATAATATTTCACTATTTTTACTGTATTTTTATCAAATATATGCAGCCTGTGTGAGCAGAAGATGCTTTAAAAAAAAAAACTTAATTATTCCAAACTTTTGGCCAGTAGTATACATTCTCATCAGATGCTTTCTTATGCAGGTTTTGTATGCCAATACTGTACTGAATAACCACTTTACTGAATGATAAAGCACTATTGATTTATTTGGCCGATGTTGCAAGTGACCTTGAAAATGTTAGCTGCATTAATTAGGCACTTTTTAATATTCATTCTTTCAGCTTCCTTTGGCTGTTAAGATGCTGTGTCAGGTCAAAAATAATTCCCCTAAGACAGTATAACGTGTAACATGTTTGCAGAGTCATCAGTCCGGTGGATGGCAGGTCTCTAGAGGGAGTGTCAAGCGTCAAGATTCAACAGGACTCAGAGTTTGAGATGGACGGCCAAACCATCAGGTGTACTGAGGTGTGTACAGCATGATGCCTGCAAAAGGAGGAATTTTATTGGTGTCTTCTCTGCTTCATGTCCTATCTCTCCCATCAGGTCTTCTATCTGCTGAAGTCTTCAGACGTCTCACTGTCTGCTGTCCTCACGTCATCAGCTCAGTTTCAGAGAGAGATCGCCACCGCCAGCTGCGCCGCCCTCTGCCCTCACCTCTCTGTGCTCTTGGCGAATGGATTCAACTCTCTCGGACTCCGGGTCTCCACCGACTCAGACATGGTAAATTATTGTGGGCACAGCAGTGTTGGCTAAAAAAACTATTAGCTAAGACCTACCTATTTTCCAATGTAAGATCAAAATTGCACGGTTGTCAAAAAAAAAAAAAAAAAAAGATTTAAGGGCTCTTGTGGTTTTCCGGTAAGATAACCGTTTGAGCAACTTTTGAAAATGAATAAATTAGAACTAGCCATAAATATTAGTATTGCAATTTTACTATACTCTACCGTTCAAAAGTTTGGGATCAGTAAGATTTTTTATGTTTTTTTAAAGAAGTTTCTTATGCTCATCAAGGCTGCATTTATTTGATCAAATCTACAGAAAAAAAATCTGTAATATTGCGAAATATTATTACAATTTAAAAGAAGAGTTTTCTATTTTAATATACTTTAAATTATAATTTATTCCTGTGATCAAAGCTGAATTTTCAGCATCATTACTTCAGTGTCTTCAGTGTCACATGATCCTTCAGAATTCATTCCAATATGCTGATTTATTATTAATGTTAATTATTAACAGTTGTGCTACATAATATATATTTTTTAAAATCTTTGTAATAATAATATTTATAAAATTATTATTAATAATATTTTTTTCAGGATTCTTTAAATAAAAAGTTAAAAAGAACAGCATTTATTCAAAATAGAAATCTTTTTTAACAGCAGACACGTTGGGGTCAGTACATTTTTTTTTTCTTTTTTTTTTTTGAAAGAAGTTAATATTTTTGTTGAGCAAGGATATGTTAAATTGCTAAAAAGTGATTGTAAAGCCTTATATTGTTACAAAAGATTTCTGTTTTGAATAAATGCTGTTCTTTTTAACTTTTTATTCATCAAAGAATCCTGAAAAAAGTATCTCAGGTTGCAAAAAAATATTAAGCAGCACAACTGAAGCAGAACAAGATACTTCTTTAAAAAACGGAACTCTCGCTGATCTTACTAATATTAAGTATTGTAAAAATACATAATTTTTAACATTACTATTGTACAATTGCATGTGTGTGTAATATTAGTTTTGTGTAATATTTTTTAGAGTTATAAATTTATATTTTTTCTTAAATACTTTTATTTTGCAGTGAAATATTTCAGTAATATTTCTTATTTTGTTTTATGTTTTGATTTAGTAATAATACTTTTTAAAAAATCATATAAATTGTTGTTATAGTCATATTCATATATAATCACGAAATTATGCTGCCCTTTAAACAAGCACAACAAACCTGAAGCCTTTTTTAATCACATTTACAATCGCAATCACAATATTTATCAGAAAACTGCTGCTTTTTGGGAAAAATATTCACTGGCATCACTTTTTCTTTTGTTAGCAGCTCCCAAGTCACTGCAGTGTTTTCCACAGACTTACACTCTATGTGTGGCGGCACTTCCCCTGGGGAAAATATATATGTATATAATGTAAATATAAAACAGCAGACGGGCTTATTGAAAGTGCAAATTCATTCTCTACCAGAAGGAGACGCTTTAGGAGCTGCAGAAATAGCGGTTTCCCCGGTAACGGCTGTAATCAAAGCAGCGCTTCGCTCATGAACGCTACTTTATCAGGCATTATAGGAAAGATGAAATGAAAATGACATCAAAACTTTTCTGAAGACGATCGCTTCCCTTCAAAAAAGATACATTCATATAAAAACACCCGTGCCGCGTTTTGATTTTGACACGTGCAGTGCTCATGTTTATTCAATGAAGTCAAAGCCTTTTGGAAAATCTATTTGTGGCGGCCGGTCAGTGTTGATATTGCGGGCCGCCACAAATAAATCAATGTATGGGAAACCCTGCACTGTAATGTTGATTAAATGCATAAAATGTATTTGTAACCCTCTCATTGTTGTGTTTTTGTAGGTTGAGTACCAGGCTGGCTCTGGTGGCCACCTCCTGCCTCAGAAGTATATGAATGATCTAGACGGGGCTCTAATTCCCGTCATCCACGGAGGAAGCTCCTGTGTCCCCCATCAGGCCATGGACATGGAGTTTTTCTTCTACATCTCACTGAGCATTTGAAAGCTGGTGACTTACAAACTTTGCATCCACAGGCAGCCATTGGGACCTTCACGACTGGTAGCAATGAATCGCAGATACGGAGAGACAGACTTCGTATCTGATCTCTGACAAGGTATGGAGAGTTTGATGCATTTTAGAGGAACTTCACTGAAGTGGAACTATATTAGCGATCCTTTAGAATAAAGCAGAGGTCAGCAACAAAAATAAAAACGTGAGAACTTTGCTGTGCTTCTTCGTGTTTCCAGCATCTGTTCAATGGATGCCAGTCGATGAATGTTGGTTTGAATGCGAACAGAATTGTTTATGTATGACTATGATGTCAGATATACCGATAATTATAATCGTTACTTGATTGCACACATGGCAACCGAGCATATGAAGTGCTGCATTTCTTTGTCTGTTTTTTCTGAGCTGGAATCTGCAATGTTTTTTTCCCATCCGTCATAATTTTCTGTTACCTTATGAAGTAGCTTCATGTGGACTTAAGAATCCATATGAAGGTTTTATGTACTGATTATTGTACTTTCTAAGTACTGCATCTTATGGTTAGTCATTTTTCTCAATCTGTAAAATACACAGAGAGTAAAATACACCTCGGTTTGATTGCTTAAAAAATATAGATGAAATCATCTGCTAATTCAATTAAACTTTTATTAAGCTTAAATACTATTTTTGGAACAGACAGTTCATGTGTTGATTAAAGGTGATATTTTTGATAGGGCATTGAAATTACAAATTAAAACTCATTCTGCAATTATAACCCCAAAAAAGCTTATGAAATGCTTATGAAAACATTGTTTCACATCACATATATTTACCAAAAAAAAAGGAGTTCAGAGTAAAGAAAAAGGATGATGGGATCATCTTATGAAAAGATTTGCTTTAACATTTATGTAATTATTTTCACACTACTGCATTAATTAAAGAAAAGGTCATTTATTGAGATCTTTAAATGCCTTTCTTTTACTATTAGTTTATTTTTACTGGACAAACTGAAAAACAGCCCCATCTGTTAACACTACAAATGTGTTGTTGGTGTGACCAGCCAGGAATTGAAGAATCCTTAGAGCTTTGAATGTTGGCCTGAAAAAATATCAACACATCTGAACACTTTTACATGTTTTTTTAATTTTTAAAATTTGGTCAACCCACCATGATGAAAGTTAACAAGGCTGCCAAATGTCCTTAATATACTACAGATATTAAATATCTGTCATGTTTAATGGGTTTGACAGATTGAAGAATCTTTTGAAAACTCTTTCCTTGTAAAATATGCTGGATGGTGTTTCTGAATTAAGTAGCCATTTTATAAATGCAATAACCTTTATTTCTTTCACTAGACTTGACTGTGATCCTACATTTTTACATTCAGCTTAAAATGTACCTTAAACCTGCAAAACAAAGACTTTTTTCCCCTCAAGTAAATTCTGATTATATTGACGCCATTAAATCATTAATTTTTAAATGCTGCATCTTAACAAAAATCATTAAGTCATTAATTTGCAAAATGCACTTTTACTGTCGTTGGTGAAATGAAATACAGGACGAGTGATTGTTTCTTATTTTTTATTCATTTTTTATTCATAGTGATAAAACACAACATAAACAGTGATGAATCATTTTATTTGATATATTGACTGGTATATTTAAATAATCTGAAGGCCTCTATAATTCTGTCACAAACCAAATACAAATGTTCTTAAGATAAAGATGATTGTTGTGGAAGGATTGAGATTAAACGTCTGTGAAATTAGTTGAGCATTTTATAGACATCTCAGATCTTCTCCCATATTTTTGGGCTTTGTGGAATATTTTGGGAGTTAAATTATTTTCTCGCTGTTACTGATTAATTAAATCATCACAATTAAAGTATTTTTATGCTTTATAAAAAGCTGTTAAGATGTACCCGTTTGCATAATGTATATCTATTTATTCTTGAAAACCAGATTTATTAGATGAATTATCTGGTATGGGACCTAAGGATGTTCTTCAAAACAACATTCATTTCTAATATGTATCTCATGTAGAATAAAATTTTGATAAATATACAAATTCATTGTCTCATGCTCATTTATGACATGTTTCTAACAGCCTTTTGTTTTGCCATTTAGATGAAGTGAGATTTTCTAAATAGGTGATTTGCTGCAAATTTACTGCTCACATTATAGAGTTCTGATGTAATTTTTTATTTTTTAAAAGACATTGTGAACATCAAACACAAGCAAAAAAGGTACAGTATGTTCCATACACAGTGACTCAAATGTATTACGAATGAATTTGTATGTTGGCAAGCTGAATATCTATGCTAGTAATGCCAGCAGTTGAATGGTGTATTTTGAACCTACAAGTCATTTTAATATTTTTGTATCCTGTTTTCTTAGCTATTGAAGCTCTAGCCACATTCATAACCAATTGTTTCTATTAAGTCGTATTTGACTATAAAGGTGCGGTCACATCAGTGAAATTTCACAGGCAAAAAAAAGGACCATTGTCAGTAGTGCAGAGATGTATGAAGCACTGCTTTCACAGAAGTCGCTTTCAAACCAAGCAGATTTACGTAACCTACTTGAATGTGTGAAATCTGCATGGGTTCTTCACGTGAAACTCACATGCTGATTCCTATGGGAATGACTGGATTTCGTCCATGAAATTTCAAAAAGCAGTAGTAAATGTGACCTCACCTTAAGGATGCATGGTTAAAATTGTTTTGGATTAGATTGAAGAGTATAGATGTTATTTGTTCCGTTTCAGTGACCAGCAATCATTTGGTGTCAGTGCAAATTGATGCCTTTGTTATGGTCAAAATGATTATAATAGCAACCATTCAGTGTCCAAAAATTTCTGTGAAGTCACCATGTCGCTTGAGCTGCTCGGTTTGCATGGAGTGTCTTCTCATCAGCATCCTCCTGGTCTTGAGATCCTTTGGAAAACCTGCAGGAGCCGAGGGAATGCAGGGCTTTGTCCCTGCCGCTACACCACATACTGCTTTGTTGCAGGAGCTGATTCTGCTTGGATTGCCACTTCCAGTGATATTTGGGATTGGTGTATGCTGGTTCAGCGGAGGGAGAAATCCAGCTCGAGGATGGGAGATGGGATCCAAAAGTGGCCCGGAGCCCCGACGCTCGTAGCCGATGGGATTCCTCCTGTGCAACTGCGTCAACGAAGCGCTCTCAAGAGATTCCCTGGAGCCCACCAAGGTAGGAGAACGCGAGTTAGCAAGTTTTCTCTTCTCCAGCTGTCCTTTATGGTCTTCTGGAGAGTTGGCGAGGCTCACCGATAGTTGGGAATCGGAGCTGTAGTGGTCCATTCCTAGTTTCCTTCTCTGGATGATGTTGCGGAGACTGGACACGGCCAAATTTGGCAGGGATTTGTCCGGGTACTTCTCAGCCGGTAAAGCTTCCGCGCTGCTTTTGCAATGAAGATTGGGATGGGATAAAGAGTGCAGGGATGATAAGCTATCAAAGGACATGTTTCGGCACAGTGCTCCTTCCAGCCTTAAACCTTCACCGTTTCTTCCTTGACTTAGAGTTTGACTCAAAGAGTTGGTTTCTTTCAAATCAACACTGCAATGCCGTGATAGTGGCATGTTGCCAAAAGCCAATCTGTTCATTCTGAAAGTCATTTCCTCTTCAGGCGTGATGTCCGCGAGTTCCTCCGTAGCGGAGGTGCTTTTGGCGTGCTGTTGGGCCAAGAAAGACTGTGGGATCTTCAGCCATGGCTCGGAGTGTAATCTCTGGAGATTGTGGATTTTGCTCAACCGACTGTTTACCAGGGAAACCTGGTGGGATGGAGAAGTTGGCTGGGAATTAGTCATGCTTCGGAGGTCCTGGAAGGAAAACATGTGCTCTGTAGGACTAGAAGAAAGAGTCCCCTGTGGAGATGTACTGAGGAGAATATCAGATGGAGAAGCACAGGGAATGATGTTGGAACTCAGCTTGTCCCATTGTTCCACCATTGCAAGCGGAGGAATAGGTAGGTGCTGTTTCGCCGTTTGCCTTCCGCATGCCAGTTTGTCAGGGGTGATGATGATGACCTCTTTTCCTCTGGCTTTGCAGGCATCCATAAAGATTTTAAGAGTTTCTTCATCGCAGGCATTGATGGCATATATCAGAGCCGAAGAACCGGTGTGGTCCTCAAGACACGGATCCGCCCCGCTACCCAAGAGCAACGCCACTACCTCAGGACCGGCTTGCTCCAAACAGGCGTGCATTAGAGCCGTCTTCCCACTCTTGTCCTGGATGTTCGGATCAGCGCCACTTTCAAGCAGGTACCCAACCATCTTAGCCTTCGAGACACTTTGGTGGTCCATATGCCTGCTCCTGCAGGCGACCATCAAGGGTGTTTCGCCGCACTCATTACTCTCATTAATATAAGCGCCGCCTTCCAGGAGTAGCCGTGTGAGACGGAGACGACTTAGGTAGACGGCCTTAAGCAAGGAGTTGCCATCAGTGTTGACAACTTGCGGACCTTCCATCTTCACCTCTTTCACTGTGACTCGCACCTGATGGGGATCACGTATGTTGCCATGACAAAGCCTGTGAAGAGGGGAACAAGGTTAGGTATTGCATGGTCTTTGTCACAATGGATGTATGGAAGACAGTCCATTTGAAAACCTCTTCTTATGGAAGATTACACACATTACATCTACAGAATGGAAGTCTCGAGTAGCTTTGAATTATCTTATTGTGTTCGTCTCGTTATTATATGCTTGATTGGTTGCAAAATAATGAAATGGAGCCAAATGCACTTTCCCACTCTCTGTGTTTCTTTATGCAGTCCTGCTCCGCAACAAGCTCCTTTTTTTTTATAGAATTACAGCTCTCTCTCTCAAGCAATTTTTTTTTTGAAACGCTAAATTCAATAAACCGAAGCAGAGACCTTGGCTTTATTGTTTGCCATTACTGCCAGACAACATTCTTTGTGCTGCCTGTCCTTTTCAGCATGAGCGCAAAGCTCTGCCTTCCTCACACTTTCTTTAGGAACAGCATCTTTCTAAAGGCCGTTGTGTTTGCTGTGCTTGGTGTTACTTTCTCAGAGCGCTGACACACGCCTGCAGAACATCATGCCTCTGATTAGGGTTTATAAAGTGTTTTTAAATACATTTTAAGTCAATTGGAGAGATGGTAGGCACTTATGTAAAGAAGGTATAGGTACTGTATTCAGTTAGCTTCGTCCTACATCTGAGAGATGCATTATAAAGAAGTCTCCTCGCATTTTCTAGAAGTTTCTTTTGCCAAACCATTTGTAATTTATTTGTTTTTGCAAACTATTTTTATTTTTGTCTCTAAAACTGACCTTGTGAATTAAAGACAAACATTTTGAAAACAATCATTTCCAGACATCCGTACAGCTTCCGTGGTTCTCAACTGTGAATGAGACCTTTTTTCAAATTTGTTAAAGTCAGCATAAACACATGCACACTTTTTGCTGTATCAACGCACATTTCTAGTTTTATTGTGTACAATTCTTGAACATTACACTGAAAAAAAAAAACTTGGCAAAGAAACAATTTTCACTCTGAAATTGCTAGTAAATTTCACAATTGATTACAAAGAAACAGCAAGCAAGACATTAAATTAAACGTAAAATTTTGAAGTAGAAAGACTGAAATAGTGTTTTCTTGGAAAACATACTCCAGTAATCTTACTACTTTGAAAAATATTTTTTGTACAGCGTTAACGTACATTCCTGGTGTTATTGTGTACAGTTAATTAGTACAGTTATTTCAGAGATAATTTCTGCATTTTTGCAATCTTTCCCCAAAATGCAATGCTTTACTTTGCTTCTCAAATGACTGTCCTTTTCAGCTGATGCTTGTGTGTTGGGCTCCTTTTCTCGTTGAATGTCTAGTTTCACTCAGAAATGTCAGGTTACAGAAGCAAAATGCTTGCAAATGTCTTTTCATCTGAACTTTAATCACGTTGCAGGTGTTGAAATCAAAGCCCCAGCTCTGTGTCTTGTCAGTGAAACAACATCAGTACTGACTGTCCAAGTAACAATTGCATTTCCTCTATGTTACAACAAGGGTTTGAACAAGTTGTCATGAGCAGCTCGCACGCTGTTACCATGGAGGATATGACGATTGCTTTTGAGTAGCTGTGACTTCTACCCTGTCAGCGATGTTCTGCT